TAGTAGTCGAGCTATCAAAAGTAAAATAAATGGTTGGACGGACTTAATAACTGTATTACATCCTTTAAAATTAAATTTAAATACTTTCCGAAAAATTGTCTACTTCCCTATTTACTAAAATAAAAAAAAATAACGGTCATTCTATGAACTCTATTGTACTATCACGTAAACTAATTAATGAACGTACCTGAATAAAAATATTTATTACTACAATGAGGACACGGATATTTTGGTTCAGTTTTCCCATGGAACTCTTGCAAATGCTTCAGCCGTTGGTGGAACGTCTTGAAGCGTTCGCCGCACTCAGAACAGATGTAAGGGTGCGACGACTGATGTACACGCCATATGTGAGCGTTGCGCGTGTTTAGTTTTTCAAAAACCTGAAACAAGGCATATTATAATATTAGACCTGCCATAATAATAATGATTAATTTAACTCCAGTTAACCTCGCTAACAACTTGAGGCGGTTGGATTTCTGTAGCGTGTCGTTTCCAACGCAAATGCAGAAAGCAGTCTTGTTCGATACGGCACATATTGTCTTGTTCTTGAGCCTGAGTCCCTGAGCCCGGTCGGTTTTATATAACCGAAAACCCCTGTACAAAGAGGCATAACAGACACAGAAGCATTTCGTTGACCCACTGACTCGACCTGTAGCTCAGTTGGCAGAGTGACTACAGTATAGCGTGGTTGCAGGTCCAAGTCCTGTCAGGTTGAAGGAACTTTTCCTTGGGTTCCATCTTTGTATTAACAATCATAAGTAAGTTGCCCAAGTTGCTGGATGGCATTGACAGATCCTTACATATAAATCTATGCCTTTTAAATGTTACCTGTTCGCATTGAGTACAGGAAAAAGGTCCCTGCAAATGAACCTCTTTATGTCTCTTCAGTTGAGCCTCGCTGGCGTATTTATTCCCGCACTCATCACATTCGAAAAGCGGATAGTGACCATTCATATGCTCATGTAGTGTTTTTGTAGTTGTAAATGATTCACTGCAGATTGAACAGGTTGTTTGGCCAGGGAAAATTGTGTATGGCTTGTCTTTCTTTTCAGTACCTGTGTGTAAATATATATAATAAGATACTTATAACGTTTTTATTTAAGAAAACCGACTGTAAAAGGTAGGAGATACTGCTTTTGTTGTGTTCATTACCTTGGTCTCTTCAACGATAACTGACACGCATTATATGTAAGTACTCGTCAAAACGAATAATAGAAGCCAAAACATAAGGTAGCTGCTGTGCACTGTCGAGGAGCCCCTCTGTCATTTCCATAATCAGATCAGCTCTAGGTTATTATAACATTTTATTTTCATTGGAACTATATCTATATGCCAAGTGTTCAAACAACCTATGAACATTCTACTCTGCAGGCGAACGACCCAAAAATAGACTGCAAGATAATGCTTCAACGGCACTTTACACCGACGAGACACTTAGATTTTAGAGACCTTTGTTGTAATAATGTTTGTTAATGTAAATTTGTATATACATATCAATTAATTTATTATTAAAAATTAGTCTTTCCACAGCAGTCGAGTTTAATTTACCTCCTGCTACGATCCTCTCATTGTGGCCAAGACACCTTTACCCATCTGTAGATAGGTCTTGTGAATCTGTGAGACCGGCAGTGAGAATATCGATCCCAGTACACCCTTATTTCCTTTACCCCGTCCGTCTGTTGCCTTAGGTCACACGGCGCCGATATCCTGTACTTATTTATATATGTATTTGGCACACTTAATGGTTAGGGCCTGTTAAGATACTTAAGAGTGGTAGGCTCTACTCTCCTGCTACTATTCTTGTCCTACCTTATTAGGTTCATTCCCGTACAGTTTGTCGACGACCACAGACATGCACTCGGTAGACTGTACACCAAGTTTTATTGAAACGGGTTAACGAAAAGTGGATGAAATTTAATAAACTGGATTTATCCTCTAATTTGCCACACTTAAAGGTGGAACATCTTCAACTTCTTTTGAACGGGACCATTACGGTACCCCGTATTAAAAAAAAAGAATCATCGAAATCTGTTCACCAATGTCAGAGTAATCGTTTAACATACACACAAAAAAATATATAAATACAGTCGAATTGAGTCGAATTTTTAAAGTCGGTGAAATTAAATAATTTATGAAAACACTAATGATTGATGGTCCAGGAACAAAAGATGACTGGTCCCTATTTTAATTTGATTTAAATGCCTCTTTTGTTTTTTGTTTCATAATTAGTGTTCAGGCCTTTTTGTTCTGTTTGTTCAAAGTTTGTGTATATGGTTCTTAGTTTTGTATGTCAGTAGGGCTAGCATGATAGCGACATGTGTGGCAGTTTTCTGGTAGCTATAACGGTAACCGGGGCCTCACCATGAACTCTTATTACGATTCAGTTTAGGACCTAAAATGAATCGTTGCGAGACAGCGCTACATGAAGTGTATATCACCATCCAGCTTTTTAGACGTTACGAACCTATATTGAACTCTAATAATAGTAAATAAGACCCCTGGCTGATTGAAGAAGCTTTCATAAGTTCTCACAAGTGGTGCTACGGCGAAAAATAAACCGTTTAAAACCGCAACAAGCACAGAGAAATTAGTAACATTTGCTGGCTCGATCCGTAGTTCAGTTGGCATAGCGGTAGCCACTGCAAGTATCCACTTTGATGCAACAGACGCAGGTTCGAGTTCAGTCGAAACAAACGAATTTTTCTTTGTGTTTGTTCGACCTTTATATCAATAAAAATATAATAGAACCAAAGAAGGATGAAAAGGAAATGAAAACTTTTAAGTAAAAAATTGTTACCTTTGCTGTAGTCCATTTTTGAATAATCATTAATTTTTTTCACGTTCTTCTCGTTTTTTGTAACAGTCGTCTCTGCAGTGATTGTAACGCTAACCTTTTCTTGTTTAGTATTATTGATATTAGTGTAATTCAATAGACCGGTTTTAGGATCCAGTTCAGGCTCTTTGTAATCTTGTAACGAATCATCATTTTCTGTGTAATTCGACTGTAAATCTTCTAATAATTTCATTTCTAATTCTATTTGGCTTTTAAGGTCTGATAAAAGAAAAAATAAATTATAAGTGAATCAATTTTTACTGATCCAAAATCGCGTTTTTCTTTAAATTAAGGCACTTTACGGGTAGGACCCGCCAGCCAGCCGTGATATGTACCTGTACACATATAGTCTAGAAATTTTGACTAATGCTAAAGACGTCTAGTAAATACATAATAATTATGTACGGTAATGTAATTATTAGTCCAATGAGAAAAAAATAATCATTTAGTCATACCATTTATGTTCTTCAGTGTTGCTTGTTTGAAATAAAATGCATCTCTTAATTTCAAAATGCATTTCTCACACATTGCATTTAGCTCATCATTATCTGTAATCTGAGAATAGAATCGAATATTAACACTGACATATTTTATTTATACATATATTATATATTGTATTTGACGCAGACCAATCACGTGAGACGAAAGACAGCCCAGTATTACAAATTAGGGCTGTTGTGAATATCAGCATCCACATCTGATAATCTGCATAAATTTAAATATCTGTCTCCTGCATTGATTGAGAATATTTACAGAGTGATAATTAATATACAAACCATCTAAAAACAGACTGGCAGCTGAAAAAGTAGGTGAGTCATTATTCTTACTGTTCCAGTGTAATTAAGCTAGGCAACTGCTTGCTTTTATTTGATTCTCTTTTGTTAATAAATGTCAAAAAATCATTAAAAGTTTTTTAAATTCATATGAATATGATTTGACAATATATATTCAGATCATATTAGATGAATCTTGGTTCCATTGCACTGGAGGCAGCATTCGAACAAAAGTGTATAGCTTGATGCGGTGTTGTTGACTGTACTGTAATAGACAAAATCAAGATCTGCCGATCTTAAGGTAAAAAAATTAGCATCTGCATCCGGTGATGTGTAAAGAACCCACATCACCAACAACACTGAGTTACAGTGCTGTCAAAAGCACGCTTCAACCTACACTATCCCAACTTGTGCCAGCAATCATTTTCCGTGATTGTACATCTATAAAGTTTCAACAATTTAATTAATTATCTACTGATTGGAGACAGAGTAAAGGATGTATAATGGATGAGAATCTTATATCGAGGGTATTCTGGGAGAACCAGATAAGTGCAAAATTTTAAAAAAATATGTTAAAAACATAGGCTACATAGTTTTTGGCGCATTTTTTATCTGGCAAAATCATATAACTGCCAAAGCTTTCACAACAGTTTTTTACTTTGGGTAAAGAAAATATCTAGCATTTTTTTTCTGTAAATATTAAAGCAAAAAAGGATATAGACTCTTAAAAACAAAATAAAAAAAATTGTTACAGTGACAACGGATTAAAACAATTTACTTTCTTTACCCACAAAACACTTATAGATAATTGCATTTTATATTAACACGTAAAACAAAATATTGCATCTTATTTGTTTCTTATTGGTAAAACGAACTGTGTTCTTTGTTTTATTGACAGGCAGAACAGAATAAGCAAGTTTATTTTGTTTTGCATACTACAAGTAACACAATTTGATTCTCTACTACAGAGATAAAGCTTACTTAGTCTGTTTTGTTTGCTAACGTTTTTATATATATGTCAACTAGAAGTCGTCGCGTGCGCACGTGTTTATTTCATCGAGATCATAATTCGAATAATTACTGTGTTATGTTAAGTGAATCTGTGTATAATGGTTTCCAGAGGAAAGAAGATATTATCGCTGATAGTCAATGACAGTGCAACACAAGGTATTTTTAATTTACATGCGTAATTACATTTTGAGGTTATAATTTTATTTCATTTAAAATAAAATATTGTAATGTTGTCTAGACGCTATGTTAATGCTTTGTTTATGTTTCTAGGACAACACTCTTCTTCTGAAAGTGATAGCGAACCAGTTCAACATCGTACTGTTGTAGCAGCTGATGTTCATCAAACTAACAACGGTGAACTTTCCAGACGTCGATCCGGTATGTATTTCTGCATAAGAACATACTTTTATTATGATAATAATATAGACAAACATATTGCATATCAGTCATTGACTGTCGGAAATAGTCTCCTCAATAGTCGTGCAAACCTATTTGTCATGTATCGGTATGAAAGACGAGCCGAGAGATTACTCTTACCTTACCCGTTGTGAGCTTATTACGTATTTTATGATTATCTCCCAGCTAATAAAAATGACTAGTTGTTTACAATGCCTGGTATTTTTTCAGGTCGTCAACCAGTATCAAGAGTTCCACGGAATGAAAATATCAGTGACGAAATCGAAATAGAGATGGAAAGCTTATTTAATTTTGACGATATATCTGATGACGAAGATCCTACCTATTTACCTCCCCTTCCTAACCAACACATGAATCAAGATAATGACTTAATTACTGTTCAAGATTTACTAGGAGACGTTTTTCAGCCAAATAATGATGGAGTCGATGGTTTGTTAGAAAAAAATATCCTATTACTACGGGAAGAAAATAAGAAACAAAAAGAGTCGTCAGATATCGCTAAATTAATATTACAGGAAATTTTAAATAATATATGGAAAAAAGTCAAACCTATGAAAAGATGGAGAAAATCTAATCCTGAATGTTGGGTAGTAAACGTAGCAAAAAGAAGAAGGGCTGATGGTTTGCCTTACAAGTCTCGCTCTAAAGAGCGGCCAGCAAAGATTCCAAAGGTCATAAACTGTTCTGAATGTAAGTACAAATGTTCTGATAACTTTGATGAGAACGCTAGAAAGGAAATATGTCGACATTACTGGCAGCTTGATTTCATCGGTAGGAAAAATTTCATTCTTTCCCATATAGAAGTAAACCGTCCTAAGCGAGTACTTGCTGTGAGAAATAAACGTGAAAAAAGAGCTTTCACAAAAAAATGCTACTTTACACACAATGACGCAAAAGAACAAGTTTGTCAAAAGTTTTTTACGAAAACTCTTAATATAGGGCCATCTGTAGTATTTGACGCTGTAAATAAACGCAATAGTATTGGTGCTTTTGAAGCTATTGACAATAGAGGAAAACACGAGCCGGCTAACAAAACTAAACCAGAGGTTTTGGAAGGAATTCGTCGCCACATAGAATCATTTCCATGTTTGGAATCTCATTATACAAGAAAAGATACTAAGAGGAAGTATTTGAGCGCAGATCTTAATATAAGAAAAATGTACACATTGTACAAAGAGTTATGCCAAGAAAAAAATGCAGAAGCAGCAAATGAGCTCACTTATCGAAGAGTATTTGCTACGGAATACAATTTAAGTTTTTTTGTACCGAAAAAAGACCAATGTACAATTTGTACAAATTATGAAAAGGCTGACGAAGAGAAAAAGAGATTATTAGAAGAAAATTATAAAGAGCATATCCAGAGGAAAAATGTTTGTAATGCAGAAAAGGAAAAAGACAAAGAGAGAGCTAACAAAGATCCTAACTTTATTTCGGTGTCATTCGATCTGCAGGCTGTACTTCAGATCCCTCACTGTAAAGTGAGCCAGTTGTATTATTCTCGAAAGCTGTGCGTGTTTAATCTCACTGTTTATGAAGCAGGTCTGCCCAATAATGCATACTGTTTTCTATGGTCCGAATTGAACGGTAAAAAAGGGAGTTGCGAAATTGGATCGATTTTATTGCATTATTTAACTAAATGTATTTCAGCAAACGTAACTGAAATAAGCCTATTTTCTGATACTTGCTCAGGTCAAAATAGAAATCAATATGTGGCTGCAATTCTTTTGTGGGTTGTTCAGAATATTAAACATTTACAGATTATAGAGCAAAAATTTTTAGAATCTGGACATACATACATGGAGGCCGATTCTATGCATAGTGCTATTGAATCACAAAAGAAACAAACGTCAATATATTCAATGCTAGACTGGATTTCAATATGCGAACGTGCAAGGCGTAGGAAAATACATACTGTTCAACAGAAGAAGATAGTCAAGGAGCCATACAAAACAAAAGAGTTTAAATACCATGAGTTTTATGATTTAAAAGATCTGGCTTCAAAGATTATTCATAACAAAGATAAGGACAAGGAAGGAAATAAAGTACAGTGGCTTAAAATCAAACAACTGAGGTTTGTAAAGGGGGAGAAAAGAATTTACTTCAATTATGACATGACTGATACTTTTAATTACATTGACGTTACCGGTAAAGAAGGAAAAACTAGAGCTACACGAACAAAAAGAATGGGACAGGATGAATTTCCAACTGAGTTAAAAAAAATGTACAAAGAATCATTACCTATATCCGAAGCAAAAAAAAAGGATTTATTAAATTTGGTTAAAAAAAATATTATACCAGAAGAATTGGAGCCTTGGTATAAAAATCTAAAGACGGTTATTGTTCCTGAAGAGGCTGAAGAGAAGGATGAGATATCTTGCGAGGAAACTAATACGTAATTTCCTTTACTTTTATTTTTCTTGATAATTCTATTTAAGTGCTATTTTATCTACAGGGTTCAACTGTTTAAACTTAAGACAGCTTACAATAAATAAAATAAATATCGCCTATTCGTTTTTTTATTGTAATAATACCCAAAAAATTGACAGGTAAAAACAGATAACTGAGAAAAAAATAATTTTACCGCCTTAATAAGAATATTATTTCAATTTATTTTAACATCATCTGATTTAATGCGGGACAGAGAACTGTTCCTAATCATAGTAGGTAAAGATTAATGTGTGTTTAAGAGATTTACAGCTCTTTTACGTATTTCAGGTAAAACAGAATAACTGCAACACCTTCACGGCAACTTTCCCCTTTTTGAAACTTTTTATGACAATTAATGCATAAATTAATGTATCAAAACAATCTTAGATAATGTATCTGAGTACAAGTAGTGTAAATTTTATGTAGTTATGCTTCATCGTTGACCTATGATCATCCAAAACTTTAAATGCCTTTTTCTCATTTTAACGGTATCGCTACTTATCTGGTTCTCCCAGAATACCCTCGATATATTTAATTTAAATATTCACTTACTAAAATGTTAAAACATGATTTCAGCATTTCGGCGTAAATTTCTTCACATCCTTCGCACTCATGTGTATCAAATATATTAAATGTGTTTTTGTCGTTCGCACACGATAGACACACACTCAATATTTCACTCATTTTTAAAATAAAATATTAAGATTTAAAAGAGTTTTATCAGAAATAACGGAATTCATACAAATATCAGCTGATTTTTAGGATTTACACCAGTGAAGAGTGAAGAAGAAGGCACCACACACGGCAATACAAAACAAAATGGCGTCTAAAGCATCCCACTCACTTTCAAAACGATTGGGATCTTTACTGATCAATAGCTGAGCATATTTGTGTTTTGGATGGAATTGGAATGGAGTAAAAACTAAAAATCACGTATGTCCCATATTCAAATTAAATTTCCAAGAGATTTTCATTAAATTCAAAATAAACATTTCAAAATCTCGATTTAACAATTTATAATAAACTTCACTACCGAAGAAACAATGTCATTGTCAGAATATTGACATTGACAACTTCAGTTTTGTTGACTTCCTTCCTTTGACATTAAAAAAAAAATAGTAAATAAAAACCGTACGCTGATATTAACGTGCTCACAAACTCATAATTCAAAGCTATCGCAGTACTGGTTTCGCGTATTCGGTGCAGAATATTTCGCGGCCAATGACCTGTTTAAATGTGAAAGCTTTAACGAACTTTTTGATCTCGCTTTCGTTACAAATTAAGTCGTGTAAAAATGCAACTTAAACAATACCATAAGATATTCCAATTACTATATTAGTTTTCCGAGTGCTTTTTACGAAATACACATAATTTCGAAAAGTAATTGTGAAGAAAATGAAACTCAAAATAAATAAATCTCGTCTGCCGATAAAGGCTCACTTTTTCTTCTTTTTTGCTGGTAAGTATGAGTATTTTTAATATTCTCGGTGTGTTTATGTGGGAATAATAATAATTCAAACCATATGTTCAATTTATTTAGCATTGATCCGTAAATGTGATTAAAACCAGCCAACGAATTGAAAAAAAAAGGTAAATAACTGCTAAAAATAATATTGTTGGACAACCACACAAATTTCCAGAAAGTTCCTTTTACTATGTGTACCAGCGCAAAGAAATTTACTAAGGAGAGCGAAATTGCGAGAGATACTGCTATGCTCCCATAGATAATAGCAATATCTTGCACTTCCTTGTCACTCTTCCGACCCAATTCCCTCATTTGGGTGTAATACAATTGACACCAGACAGTAACTTATATTACTTACACATATTATTTCAAAGATATAAATAATACTTAATCATCTACTTTAATACCTTTACAACAATGAACATAACTAGATATTATCAAGATATTTATCAACGAGTCATGATGTCATTTGAAAACATTCATAATTCTACCAATTTAGTATTTTAATGTCACAATTATTATGCCTCTTTATACACAGTTACCTGCTGCAATACTGCACCGATACTACGCTATCCTGCCCTGCTAAGCTGAAAGGTGCTATCTCTGAGATACGCCCTTTTTTAATAATTTCGCATCTAATGGTATAATAGAAATAGTGCTATCTAACTTAAAACATTTAAAAAACCATTAAGAAGTATTTTTATATCTCAATTTTTTCTTTAATTACTAATAGATTTGGGGGCTTTCTTTATAATCAAAATAGTGGTATCTCACAAAATAGGTATAAGGTACAATTTTATACCTAAGGTACAATTTATGAATAATTTAGGTATGTCAATAAATCTATTAGTCAAAAATACGTATTAATAAGTTTTAACATCTTCAATAAGATTTATTTTTGAAGGAGCGAAAATATAATTTACATAAAGTCAATTTTCTCATAACTTACTCAGATTGAGATAGCACTTTTCGGCTTATCAAGGTAGTATTGCTCTTACCAATTGAGCTACGGGTCAAGTTATCGAGCTGTCTGTGGCTGCAGTGATGAAGGTTCTCTCACCAGATGTCACTAGCATTGCACAATGGCAATACCCAGTACAAAGATTTTCAAGAGTGATACCGGGTGCAACATGGTTACGGGTTCAATTCCCATTAGGTTGAAAAAATTGTCTATGTTTTCGATCTTTGTGTTAATAAATAATCATAATAAAAACTAGTAGAGTTAATTCATAAAAAATATATCAATAAAACAAACATTATTTATGCATGTTATACTGAAAAATCCAAACCTATCTTTGATGGTCTAGTTGATCTAATGGTTTGTGTTGAGGTGAGGAGCTCCCTAATGCGACCTCCCTATCTAGTTCAGGATAAATACTTTTTAAATTGGAATTCAAATTATTTAATCATATTTAACATATATTTGATTCCTCAAACAAACAACAATAATCATAATAACTAATATATAAACATAAAAGCTAATAGCTGCTTCAGCATGTGCATCAAGATTTTTAATAATTTCCCAAATAACATTAAATTACTACAAGGACGTACTTTTAAACTACAAATGACAAAATGGCTTTTGACACATTGCTTCTATAGTAATAAAGAATATTTCGACTTTACAAATACAATATCAATAAAATTATAATAATATGCAATTAACTGTACACAAGAGATAATAACTTCCATTACATTTGCACACCTGCTTGCAGGTTGAATACATTGTACCTAAATTAATTTAAGATCTGTATATTTACTGTATCCTGGCAAATAAACGTATTCTATTCTATTCTATTCTATTCTATAATATTGTTGTAATTAAGTTTATTGAATATCAGAATGTTTCACTATCATGATATTCAATTATTTTTTGTAAAATTACTTATTAGTTTGTTATAATTATTAATACAAAAAACGAACACTAAGAAAATAAGAAAAGCTGGATTCGAACCAGCGCTTTCCATCAATCCGTGCTAGACGCTCTGCCAATTTAACCAAGGAACGAACCATTAGACCTTACGAATTTTTCTATGTGCTTATTGCAGATCTTTATTTTTGGTTTCTAACGATTTTTTTGCCGTAGCGGATCGAAGGAATTTTTCTTATTGTTCAACCTTTGTATTAATAATTATTCTATTTTTATTTCATTTCATTTAATTCAGGCAACATAACCCATATAATATGGTATAATATTATATCAGTTCCGAATCCGAGTAATGACAGTCCGAAATGTCATAGGGATTATTATACCTCTACAAGGTTACAAGCGCTATTCGTATTTTCCCTTAGTGCACAAGCGACATCCGAAGTGAGTCGGAGTTTTCTAGATTTGTATGGTCTCTGATGCACTGCGTAAACGCGCCAAGGGCTAACAATACATCCATATAATTGTAATATATAAAAACTAACCTACACGAAGTGCACTTGACGGCAACGTGTGGCGCAATAACCGGCCGCGGAATCGCCGATACACGACGCCCTTCGGCCATAACTCCTTCATGAAGGTCGACAGATGTTTTGAAGCAAGCGAATGAAATTCATTCATATAGTGGCGGGATTTCATCCGCTCG